CCCCCCCCCCCACCCCCCCCCCCCCTCCTCAAAAAAAGAGGCGTGAGAATAAGAAGAATGAGAATGAGAAGGAAGAAAACAGAAGCAAAAGACAGAGGGCAGAAGCAGAAGCTAACCCCGCGACGCTCCATCCCCGGGACCACCACTACTACTTCTACGCCAACTTCCCTCATACAAACTTCCCCTCCCACGCATCAACAGCCTCCCGCGCTCCGAGTCACAATTATCCCAATCCCAATCTCCGTCCTCTCCCAGAGAAGAAGGATCATCGTCAGGACGACTAGGACTCCCCCGAAGCCAGTACTTCTTCATCCGGATGTCTTTCCAGCGGGAAAAACGGACGTGCGTCTTCTGCTTCTGCGGAAGCAATCGGAGGAGTGGGAGGCCGGAGGTGCGCTTGGATTTCCAGGATAGCAGGGTGTAGATGAGGGAGGAGACGAGGGTGGCGAGGGCGAACATGCACCAGAAGGCTGTCCAGAAGGACTTGGGGATCTGGGAAGGTGTTGATGATTAGTGAGGAAAAGGAAAATGAAGATTGGATTTGGGCTTGGGTTTGGCTTTGGGTTTGCCAAGGACGGGACAGGACAGGACTTACACGTTCAATGGTGCTAACCGTAGCCGACGAAGCCAGCGCTTCCCCTTGGGCGTCCAAGGCCACAACCCGGACATATTTCTGCACCTTATCCAGCATGAAGCTCGATTCGAATCCGCTCTTCTGAACCTCCCTCACCGCAACGAACTCGCCGCCCCCATCTTCCCCGGAGGTCTCGAGCCGCCAGCCAGCAACCTCCGTCGCGCCGTTCCAGGACACATATACCTTGCCCCTCTTGACCTTCACATCCGGGACCGTCTTCGGGCGGCCCACCCACGGGTGTTTGAAGATACGGTACGATTTCGCCCAGCCAAAGTCGACAATCTCGAACGTGATGCGCGGCGCGAAGTGGGCTTGGCACAGCACCTCCCCGTCCGCGGCAAACTCGACGTACGTCGGGGAATTCCCGAAGCCGACGAGCACGTTGCCCGTCTCGTTGACGACCTGCACCGAGCCCTGCGAGATGTTGAGGATGTGGTCCGGATGCGCGTACTCCCTCACCAGCTCCGCCGTCATGCGCGCCATGTCCAGCTTGATCACCTTGCCGCTGCTGTGCAGCGCACGACTGTGCCGCACGTCGTTCGCGTGGTTGTCGAACAGCGAGATGGTGTCGTCCCCTTGCCACGTGACGTGGTGCTGCCAGGAGAAGTCGAGCGCGCCCCCGAGGTCCTGGAAATGGTTGTTCTTGCCGCCCAGCTGCCACAGAATCTCGCCGGTTCTGCCGCTGATGCCGAGCACGGCGTGCATGTAGCGCGCGGAAACGATGAAGTCCCCCGCGTCCGTCTTGTCGACGCTATTCATGTGGAAGAAGTCAAAAGCGTCCTTCTTGGATGTTCCATGGCCGTCTTTGCGGTTGGGCGAGCTGAACACGTCGGTCATCTTGATGTGCTCCGTGGCTTTCCACTCGAAGAGCAGCTCCCCGGTGGCGATGTCGATTTCTTGGAACCAGCCGTCTTGGATCCAGCAGCTCTTGCCTAGGCCGATGGTGGTGCAGTCGGTCTTGTGCTTCTTGTAGATCACAATGAGCGCAGTACCCTGAGGCGTGATGCGGAACTCGTGCGAGTCCCCCTTCAAGCCTTTGCCGACAGGTTTAATGCGATGAGCGACCTCATAGCTCGAATTGAGCTGGAAGGGTCAGTCAGTTCTGCAAGATCCCACTCCACCCACATGCTCCGAGACGAGAACCCTCACCATGACAAAAGACTTTCGGGACTTGACGGTGCCATCCTTCCTCGTCTTCTTGTGCTTCGTCCAGAAGGTCAGGAAGTCCTCTCCCCGGTACCGCTGGACGTTCAGGTTCATGGCCTCACGGAACCTGTCGTTGTCCATCCAGACCAGCTCACCTCTGGCGTCTGTGATGACAGGGCCGCGAGCAAAGCCCTGCACATGAGGCCCTCGCACCGTGAAGAAGAGGTTGCCATTGTCGCACTCCTCGTCCCACTGCGTGATGACCGGCTTGAGCGGCTCGAGATCCGTCGACTGAAAATGCTGATGGGGATAGAGACCCCGGAATCCGAGATCGTAGAGGTTAAATGAGAAGACCGCCGCCGCCCACGGTGCGGTGGGAAGCGCTGCGAAGAATGCGACGACGGACTTCATCACGATGGGGCGGGTTTGGGAAGGGCAGCAAGTAAGAGGGCAGAATAGAGAAATGATTTGTTGGAGTTTTCGGCCAAAATCCAGAAGAGAAAAAAAGATGAAGGGAGGAAGCCAAAAAGTTACTTGATACTGGAATACAGCAGCCCGTAGCCGGCTTTAAAAACAAAATAAAACAAAACAAAAAGAAAGTAGCCGGATGACTCGGGCATTGTCGAATGTGATCAGCTGACAGCCTCATTACGAGTCCAGACTGTGATTGGGTGTCGTACGGTGTCGGATCACAACACTGGAAACTGCGATATGCAATTGCAGGTTTGCTTTTGCGCAATAGTTAAATGCCATATTCGCTTCGGTAACTTAATTGGTCGATCGATGGCTAGCCGCCATTAAAGTATATGTATGCAGTTTAAGGTTTTCGCTTAATACAGTACGTATGCAGTCCCGAGGCTTTCTTGACCGAAAACCCGATGCGACCACGCTATCGTCAGCTGCGAAGATGCATCTCGATGTAGCGATTATTTAGTTAATAGCAAAAATACCTATAATATGCTTAGCTGAGCGGCGATATAATTTTTTATTAGAAATTTAAATACTTCGGAGAAAACGGCAAGATCTTTACGTCAGTAAAGAACTATCGAGCATGTAATGCCGTGCAACGATAATCGTGACGTAGTCATATAAAGTAGTCGGTGTCCCGGCGTAACCGGCCTGCTTTGAAAGGTGTGTCGTGCAACAGAGTTATGATACCAAAAACTGTAATATGCATTGCAGGTCTGCTTCCATAAATACTGTATAATATTAGGTAATAGACCTGTTACGCATCAGAGCCTTTCCAGATGTCTCTAGGTAGAAAGCTACTCCTTGAGTTTGTTAAACGTTGCGCGGAACAGCCATGGTCTAAGGCATTGCCTCCAGATCCGCCCAAGCTGGTCAGATGAAGCGGCTATGCGTGCCTAAGACTCTCCCCAAGTCTTGGCTCACATCACCTGTCGGTACATCCATCTCGACTCAGCTTGGTTGGGGTCAGCTCGGTATCCGGATGAGCATGCCTCGCTTACAGGGGCATGCCTCGCTTAGCGTGATACACCTTTTAAGGGCCTCCAACTTCTTTGCAAACCCTATTATACAGCTAGTCTACGTGATTCTTTCTAATCGCATAGAAAGAATCCACTCCCTTGAACCTTGAGGAGCTGATAGAGCCAGATACTATTTTTATCGATAGTTTTGCAATTGTAAGAAGCTACGTGCGCTGCACGCGCTACACGCTACAAATGAACGTTCGCTACCGGCGATTTAATATTAATCAGCAACTGATGAAGCCACTCATCATAAAGAAGCTAGGTTCGACACGAAGAGTTAATATCTTACCGATAGCTATTTGATTAGTACAGAGATGATGAGTTTGCGCTATAGAAAAGCCTGTAACCGCAAGAAAACCACATCATATACACATACACACATCGACACCTTGCATTCTGTCAGTGACTCGGATTGAAGTTATCTACTAATATAAACCTGTTAACCTTAAAGGGTGATTTCAATTCCATACCTATATCGCATGCAAGATCACATAGCATGCAAGAAAATCAAGCAACGTAAGGCGGAGAGAGTAATCGATAGAGAGCCTGCTCAACTAATGAGAATTTCATAGGCTGCTTACTCCATGAGGAGCTACAGGGCTTTTCGAGCCCTCTCTACCTCTCTACGGGGGGCCCTATAAGAGGTACAGAAATCTGCCTTCCTTATAAGGAAACCTTGTGGGGCACAGGGTTTCCTTCTGGAGTGTATGTTACGGCGAGGAAGAGTAGTATTGTAGTTAGTAGCTACCAAACGCACGCTACGCAGTGTGGAAGAAAGATGAGGAGGGGGAGAACAGACTGTGATACAAGGCCGAGAGTATAATCAGATGATAAACGTATTATGAGTCCAGACTATGATTAAGTAAGAGCCTGTATGGCTCGCAGGTGCAAGCCAAGTTGCACCACCAAAATATTCTTGCATCTCCAAGTTGCACGTCAAGATGCAAGAATTGAGCAATCTGTATGGCTCGTGCACGTAAATCTTGTAAAGTGTGCATCTGACCTCGCAACTTGCAGTTGCACCATACGAATCGAAGTTGCAGCAAATAGCTCTAACTCCCAAGTTTCAAGCTCAAGTTGCAAGCTATTCCATCCCCCCACCCCTCCCCCCCCGCTTTCCTTTCCGCTTATTTTAATCACCTGTTCATCCTTTTACAACGCCACCTTTTTGCAATAGCCTTTTCTAAAGATGTTTTAAAATAGCGTAATCTGCGCAATCGCAATATAAGTGTTATTATCGCTGCGATGGGAGCATGCGCCGCTATTCAATACTACAAACAACTTCGTAAAAGCACTTTGCTAATTAGCAAATCGCTATCCAATTTGCCAGTTGCAAGCCATACAAGCCTTGGAACGTGCAACTTCCACTGTCAAGCTGAGTTGATCCTGTTTAGGATCAACCTAATTGCTTAGTTGCACGGACGTGCAACTGCGAGCCATACATACCCTAATAGACTTGTCACGTGTTAAGACCTCTCTAGAAGTATAAGAAAAGGGCTACTCCTTGAGTTCAGTAGATGATGAATCAATTGTTTACTTATCTTGGTATCTTTCGTGTTACCGTTCAACAGGGATCAGCTCCTCTGCGGCAGCATCGTCCCTTCCGCGTCGACCGCTTACCTGAGATCGATCAGCCGCGAACGGCGAATAACGACATGCGACGACAACTCTAGTACGTACGTACGGGAAGTATCAGAAAGCACGGCAAAACCTCTCGATTGGACATGCAGCTGGTGAGATCAATGTATAAATACGTACCTACCTACCTACCTACCTACCTATTGGAACCTGGTAAGCCGCATGCGATCGACCCGTCTTCTGAGCATTGCCAGAACCACAGACGGCAGTTTCAGTTGGATGATGGGCCCGGTGGACAGCTGTTTCTCTGCGTGAGAAGAAGCCAGGGGGGGATATCTTTCTTCCTGTTGTAAGACTGACTTGACGCCGCACGTAAGCTGATGAGGCCCGGACGTCCGAGATATGTAGATGAGGCGGAATCCAAAGCGGGGAGAGGGAGAATCAGAGCCGTGGAATCGGGGCTTCCACGCGCGTGGTAACAAGACTGGTTGATTGATTGGTTAATATAGAGTGGGAGAAGGTACAGAGCAGAGCAGAGCAGAGAAAAGCAGAGCAGAGTTTATAAACTCCTATATATATATGTGTATATCCGGAATGTCACTCGGTTGCAACGTACCGGCTGATGATCAGCTGACGGGTGTGAAGAGCATAGAGAATATAGCATCCTGTCAGCCGAGACGGACGATCGCGAGACCGGGACGGTGAACATTTCCCTTCTGGAGCCAGAGTCAGTCAGCGTCAGCGCCAGCGAGGTTGGCCTTGGCGTGCATGTTTACTGATTCTCACGATATGACGGGAACGAACGCTCGTGCATCATCCGTGCCAGCAGCTAGTGAGAGTTTCTCAAAGTTGTGCTGGGGTACGATCGACGGATATCACATTCATGCCAATGCTTTATATCAGTGCCAGAGACGCCGTGTTCTTGGCCTGATGAGTCTGTTCCCCAGAACTTTCGTGCCCAAGAGTAAAGCGTTTTTTCTTGCCTTTATCAGCTACCGTTTTGTGGTTCGAATTGCGAGGCGAGGCCAAGCGAGCCTTTCGAGAGATGTCTCGAAGAGACGTTCAAATGCACGTTAAGTATCTGCGATACCAATCCGAATCAGTGAGTGGATCACCGCCAAGGAGCCAACAAAGAGAAGAGACCAGCTCTCGCTTAGATTGTTGACTTCGACCCCCCAACGCTGAAAAGCTTTCCTGGGAGGAAACGCAGTAGTTGTCTCCCAACTCTAACTCCTCGAGAGTTGTGCGTTGTGCGTTGTTTTCGCAGCCGAGGGACTGCAATTCTCGCCAACCAAGTCCAGCTTTGTAGTGGTCGGGGTCAAAAGCTCGATACGACCGAGCGGAAATCCTTCTCAGACGTCCGGCGAGCGATTGAATTTATTTGCGTTCAAGTTTCTATGGCTAAATCCCATGGGGTTAATCGAACTCTTTGCCGAATTTTCGTCTGATGGTGCCTGTGCTCCATCCCGTATCGGCTACCCAGGGCCGGGCGCGAGCACGAGTGAAACATCGACGAATGTCCACGGTCATTTGTTTCATGGATGTTTAACGTATGTTTGGCTAGGAAGAACCAAAGAAATAAAAGACTCAACGTAAATTGAATCTCGAGTCTCGAATTTCGAATTTCGAATCTCGAATCTCGAATCTCGCGATAGCTTCAATAATCGTCCACATACTCTATCCGCCTTTACTTCTCGCAACCCGACCGCAGCTCCAACCTTCCAGCTCGGCAAACCCCGCAATACAATGTCTCACTCGCTTCAGCGTCTGAAGCTTTCCTTAGGCGCTGCCTTCTTGGTGGCGGTGTCGTTCTATGTCCTTACCATGCGCGAGGAGGTCACGCTCAGCAAATACGTCCCCCTTCCCCCGATACCATTCATGTCCAAACCTTGGCCGCGGCCGAAAGCCGCTTTCAACCCAGAGGCGCACACATTCCCGAACGCCGATGCCTTCCTCCCCCATTTCCGCGCCGTGACCGAGATGCCAGGCTTGTCAATGGAGGAGGCGAAAGCAGGCTGCGACTGGCCGAACCTCGCGGACGTGAATTTCATGTACGGGGACGACGCGGAGTGGGTTGTCACTGATCGCAACGACACCGAGCTTGAGATGCGGCGGAACCAGTGGCACGAATTCATCAACAACGAACTCATGCCTTACCAGAACTTCCAGCACCGGTTCGAGGGGCGCGGGATTGCCATCGTGGCTGGCAACGAGAAGACGGTCAAGCGCGTGAAGGTCATCATACGGGCCTTGAAGAAACTGCAGTCCCAACTCCCGATCGAGTTTCATTACTGGAACGACGAGCTGACCCCAGCGGCCAAGGAGGACCTGATTGCAATGTGGCCCCATAAGATCTACTTCAACGATCTCTCCTCGCCGACGAACATCGCCAAGACGGACTACAACGCCTTCATGATCAACTACCAGTTCAAGACGGCCGCGGTGATGAACTCCCGCTTCGCCGAAGTCCTCCTCCTCGACTCGGACAACATCCCCGTCCTGGATCCGGCCACGCTGTTCGAGTCCGAGACGTACAAGACCTACGGCACCCTCTTCTGGCCCGACATCGCGCGCACGCGGCCCAACAACCCGGCGTGGGCCATCACCAACACGGCGTGCCGGATGGACGAGTACGAGCAGGAGAGCGGGCAGATGATCGTCGACAAGCGCCGCTTCTTCTACCACCTGCAGCTGGCGGCCTGGCTGAACAACGAGCACGGCATCTACTACAACCGCTTCCTGCTCGGCGACAAGGACATGTTCCGCTTCACCTGGCACGCCCTGAAGACCAAGTTCGGCTTCCCGCCGCGCTGGCTGACGAGCGTCGGCACCCTCAACGACGGCCACTACTGCGGCCACACCTTCGCCCAGCACCACCCCAACGGGGACGTGGCCTTCATGCACGGCGGCCTGCTCAAGGGCTTCCCCAAGCCGTTCACCAAGTGGCAGCGGGAATCCAACGGCGGCGTGTTCCAGGTCTACAAGCGGAGCCGCCACGACAAGCAGCTGGGCGAGGTGGTGAACGTCTCCATCAAGTTCGACGACGGCCATTACTTCCCGGACCGGAAGCCCGACATGAGCGCGTTCTCGTGTACGGGCCTGTACGACGAGGAGGCCAAGCCGCTGGACGAGATACTGCCGGGGTTTGAGCAGATGTTTGAGGAGATTGGAGGCTATTGGATGCTGGATGAGTGAAGATGTGTGTGTCTGTTTTCTTTTTTTTTTCCCCTTTTGATTCTTTCTCTTACTGTTTGGTAACGGGACAGGTGTTCACGAAGTTGAGGTCATGACATATTGTATAATAGGGTAAACCAAACCGGCCATTCCAAGAGCAGGTATTAATTACATTGCATGTATCAGATCGGAGCCTCGCTTATCACCACCTCCTATTGACATGTATTTTTCTTGCCACTTTGGGTATCCCCTTCGTATCAATTGACTTTATCAATCAAAATCCATTCTCGATTTTTCTCCCGACGCTGCTTTCGCTCGACCCATCTCCCGTCAATTATTTCACAGCGGTCAAGTGTTGCTAGGCCTTAGAGTAAGGTGGAGTGAGCAGCCCCAGCTACCTCTCCCTCTCTCTCTCTTCCATCTCCCCCATTTTCCCACCCTTTGCAATAAGAGGTGCTCTACAATATATTATATATGTATATATATATATCCCCCGCCGCCCAAAGATCCCAGTCTTCTTCCTTCTACTACACCCATTATGATCAGTCCCTGCCTGTCAGCAATCCCGCCCCGCGCTGCGCGTCTGTGGCACAGCGCGCAGCGTGATCCGCGAAAAAAAACCCATCAAAAGGGCAGTTAGCCAATGATTGAGTGACACCACGAGCTGAAAAAAGGATCCGCCGTGGGGACCTGGGAAAATCTGGCGCTGCTGCTGCTGCTCATTCGACGACGACAACGAGGACATGGGGTTTAGCGATCTTCGTCTCACCTCACACGCTGCAGCTCTCGGGACCCGTCACCGAGCGTTGCGGCGATTGATTGACCATCTTCAGCCATAACATCATACGCAGAAAGCCTTGTTCCATCCCGTCTTGACGTGTGTGCCTTGGTAGCGAGCAGAACGGCTATATAGAAGGGGAGTGGCTGTTGTGTATCCATCCCTTCAAGTCGGTGCGTCTAATGGTGATAGGAAATTGTTAGTCTTGGTTTTGAGGAGAGAGAGAAAGAGAGAGAGAGATTGTGTGGTATTGTTGCCTCGTTCCAGACGCCACCGAGAATGGATCTCACATCCATTGACTTCGAGTGGCTAGCCGACCTCCAGAAATGTAAGTCCATCCATTTCCTTAATTCCTTCTTCCTTTCTCTCCTTTTCTCTTCGCTCTTTCTCTGCACCTCATGTGACCCCCGCCCCGAACGGGTTCCTGACGAGTCACCCATCGAATCTAGCACAGTGCTTCACAACCAGTGAGGTCTCCAGCCCGGCCAAGTCCAGCGATTTCGGGGCCGACGGCCACACGGCCTCGGTGACGGACTGGCACGAGCTCTTGCAGCTCACCGTGCCCGATGCCACGTGCGGCATCGTGTTCACGCGAGGCCAGTTTCCCAACACCCCGGACGCCATCCTGGCCCGGGCCCAGCGGCGCGATGATTCCGGCCACAAGGGCACGTTCGGCGCGCGCGTCCAGAGGGCGGAGGGCGCCGCGAACGTGGAGCTGGGAGAGCGGATGGCGCAGGGCTGGATCAATCTCCGATGGCCGTATACCCGGTACGAGCTGCGGACGAGGGCGGATGGGGCAGACGACGGGAGCTCGGGGACGTGTGAGCAGATGTCCTTTGTGCGGGATGGCGTCCTGGTGCAGGTGCTCCGGTTGAGGTGGGGGAGTGAGAGCTCACTGAGTGAGTACAATTCGCTGGACGGACTCGAGAGGAGGACTGCGAGGCTCAAGGCCGGGGGTGTCGTCCAGTTTGGATGTCCGTGTTCGAATCGGGGACCCGCTGATGTTGACACTTTCCATCTGGACGCCGGGAGGGGGCTGAATTGTGTCAGCGAGCGATATCGCAAGAGGTTGGAAATGCACCTCTTCATTGACGGCCTGCCGCAGGATCTCAGCGCGCCTCTGCATGGCGTGGGCCACGACGAGGTTGGCGGCTCGGAGGTCAACACCTCGTCGATCCATGACATCGAACTCCGGGACGGAGAGCCTGTCATTGTAGTCTCCACCTACGCGTTGCGGAATCTGGAAGACCGGATTTCCGGACTCGGTATGGCTACCTTTGCAAGCCTCCAAGACCATCTGGGAACTTGTAATAGCTCACCGAACATGACGGACAGACTATGGACCGCTCTATGCTCGATCAACTATGAGGCGAGTGAAGCTATCGATACTTGCGTCATCGGGAGATGCGTCGAGCAGGTCCTGGGAGTATCTTCTATACCGTTTGAACCTCGTGCAAAACAGAAAGAAGTGCCCCTTACATCTCACCCCAAGACGGAAGAGATCGCTCTCTTGCGCAACATAATGACTCCGCAATACGTCGATGTACAAAGCAGCTTGTATGAAAAACACGAGCAGATGGATTCGTCGCAATGCTAACACGCTCACAGTTTTCAGATCCGCCTGCTCGTCAAAGTCCACAACTTTATGAACAGTCGACATCTGGAGCCAGATCTGTTCGAGAGATTCCAGCCATTGAGCAACATGCGGGCAGCGTACCTGGCCAAACTTCGCCGTATCATCCAAGCAAGCGTGACATGGCTGATCAACACCGACATGAAACCCCGGAAGCTGCTTCTCGCTTTGAGAAGTGACGAGATGCCCGCCGATCTAGAGACCCAGCCCTCGAAGAGGCTCGAGAGGTGCGAGCAGAACAGAGTGCGGATGCACGTCGACCAGTCGTATAACCAGGCCTGCTATGCAACCCTGGCGGTCTGGTATGTCACGAAGCACTGCCCACAAGCGCTGACGGGAGACTTCACAACCGCCATCCTCGGTCCAAAGCTGAGAACAGCGTACGATGCCGTGCAGAAGCGCGCTTCTCGTGACCGGGATCCCACGCCGAAGAACGACGTTCTGCAATGGCTGCACCTGAGCTGTCTGTTTCTTATCTACAGCGGGCAGTTCGGAACCGATGGCGATGGCAATGCCACCAGTGGCTTCGCACGCGCCGGCCTGGACGACGCAGAAGTCATCAAGACGCAGCAGAAATTTGAAAAGTACGTGGCTCGACTGAAGACCAGCCCGGCGGAGTGGTATTCGGTCGAGAACGAGGAGCTGGATCGCGTGCTCCTGCTGATGGAGGAGCTGGGACTCGATGCCATCCCGACGCCCTTCACTGCCAGTCTCGCCTCGTCGCGCGCTGCGCAGACGCGCAAGCGGATCACGCAGCGGAAGCGCACCACGCGCTTCAGCCCTGGGCCGAAGGTTTGGAAGGGGCTCAGGGCGACATCGAACGGCCCTTGGGAGCTGCTGTGTTCCAATCACCTAGGCTTCCTCCGAGTTACCGACGAGTCGAATGTCAAGGCGGCGAGAGAGCGCCTGTACCAGTTCCTGATGGCGGACTACTCGTTCATGACATCGTGGGATCGTGCCGATAGTAACATGGTGGGGAGGTGGTGGGATGTTGAGCCCGCCAGCGTGATTTGTGCTGCGCTTGTCGATCTGAAAATGGAAGGTACGCCCGCCACCCAGCAAAACCCATCCCTTGAAAACACATGAAGCTCCGGCTGCTGACGATCGACAGGAAAACTCAGGTCTGCGATATCCGAAGCAGCCGCAGACGAGCTTGGCCATTCTATCCACGACATGGACGAGTCTCCTAGCATGCAAAGAATCAACTCTGATACCCTGTTGGAAGCCTCCTCTCCGGAGGAATCGATAAGAGATATTCTCTTGCAGATGAAGAAGTTGCAAGAGGATTCCAGTCGCGAGCACCTGCTGCAGATGAGACAGCTCCTGGTCCAGGAGGACATCAGCAGCTTCTCCGTGCGAGCTTTTGACTGGGTCGAATGCAAACCGAGCCAGTTGTATCACCCTGTAAGCGCCCTCATCCCATCCCATCCTCCTGCTCTCAGGATTAGTGGTAATTTCCTAAATGGTGTAGGACTGGTGGGTTCAATCGCTCCAAGACACACCCGAGATGTACCAAGCCAAGCAAACCAAAGACGTCCCTCTCCGAAAAGACATCCGGAGGTACCTCGCGAGCCGCGAGCGGACGGACATTGTCACGGATCCCGGCTACACACCCGAAAGCATGAAGAGCAAGGTACCGGCGACTGACCTGCAGTTCCTAAGCGTCTTCGACTTGCACTTGACCAAGAACTTTACGTTCAAGACGAGGGACTTGACCATATGCAGTGCTGCTGCTGTCGCAGACCGGCCCCCTCTGCCTGACAGCGGTAGACAGAACGGTGTCGAGGCGCTGCGGAGTCAGAGGATTGTGGCTGTCAAGCAAGCTACCGATTCGTATAGTTATGACCAGTTAGATGCGTACCAGAAGTCTCTGTTCTCGCGACTGAACGATAGCGTAAGCAACGAACAGTTCCCCTTATGGAAACCCAGCTGAAACTGAGCAGTTGGTCGACGCGGGGGCTAAGCATCGCATACTGTAAGTCACTACCGTGAGGAATATCTGCTCGAAATCGGAAGCTAACTTTCTTGTGTTTTTTTTGGGGCGGTGAAGATTCGCCGAGAAATGCTCGCCAGCGCTGGTCGGCTCGTTCATATACGTGTGGCATCCTGATGCGCTGGATGCGTTCGATAGCTATTTCGGATCCGTGTCCCGGTTCACGGAAAGTCGAGAGGTCACAATGTGGACGACGAGCATCACAATCTCTCAGTCAGCCCCCCATCAACTACCCGATGGTAAACATTCGTCACTGACACACCAGCAGCTGGAGCATCCGCCCAGTCAGTCTCTCCACAGCACACTTACAGCTTTTCCGAGAGAACCGCAACAGCGGCGACTTCCCCCCCGCCAGCATCTCCAGGCTCGGGCTCAGCGCTCCACACCGAAAGAACGTAGCTCCCCCACCGGAGCCCGCCGCCATCGTCGAAGAACGGTGCTCCTCCCTCGTGCTGACCGGCGACCCCGCGGGCCACCTCTGGATCTGCACCGTCTGGTCGGCGCTCACCGACGCGGACGCCATCACGCCGCCCATCCACGCCCTTCCCGGCGTGCTGCAGAGGTTCATCCACCAGCAGGCGTGCGGGCGCTGTCTCGTCTTCCTGATCCTGCTCGGTCACCTGTGCGAGAAGCTCGCGGCCGAGTACGAGGAGATCCTCGCGCGCCTCGACATCATCGTCGGCCTGGGCGAGCAGGTCCTGCTGGAGGGCCTGGAATGGGGCACGAGCGAGGCCGTCGACAAGCTCAAGAAGATGCTCTGGGGGCTTGAGGCCCTGCGCGTGTTCGATGACCGGCTGTCGGCGTCGCTCTCTCAGATCCAGAAGGCGCACGGCGCGATGGAGAGGACGATCAAGCAGGAGGCTGGGCAGCAGCATGTAGCCCTGCTGCAGGAGTATAATAATGTGGTGGAGGAATTTGAGAAGCGGTTTGGGATGCTGAGTGATGTGCAGATCAGGACGCAGTTGAAGATCCGACAGGTTACTGGGCTGAGGGATGGCGTAAGCAGTAGCTTCCTTCCCTTTTTTTTCTTCTTCTTTTCTTTTTCTTTTTCTTTTTCTTTTTCTTTTCTCTTTCTTTTTTTTTCTCTCCATTTTCTTCGTTTTTCTCTTATTATCAAAGCAAGAAAGCACCTGACCAAAACTCATAGATCTCGACCGTCACAAATGTAGAGGACAGCCAGACGGCACTTCGCGACAGCAAAACCACCATCAAGCAGGGCAATAACATCCGGATCCTGACGTATATCACTATCGCCTACCTCCCACTGGGATTCATCACCGTGCGTCCTCTCCCCCCCCCCTCTCCCCCGCCTCCCCGTCCCGTGCGGTGTTCTATTCATCTCTCCTCGCTAACACCGCCACGTATCGCACCGCCTCAGGGACTCTTCTCCATGGAACACGCCACCTTCATGGACCAGGCAGGCAACAACGGCTTCGCCGTGCTCACCGTCGTCTTCATCCTGGGCACGTACGCGCTGGCCTTGAGCCTGGAGAGTATCATCGAGCAGTGGGCGCGCGTTCGCAAGAGCATAGCCCGGGGCAGGTCTGAGGGGGTGAAGAGGGGGGAGGAAGCAGTAGGGACGGATCGCGAGTCCGAGAAGCTCCAGACGGCGCGGTTCCGTGCTTTGGGGGCTCTTTGGGGGCGGGGGAGGGGGAGGAGGAGGAGGCAGGAATGCAATGGGGGGAGTGTGGAGAGCGAGGAGAAGATCGCGAAGGTGGCTTGAGGGAGTCGATTGCGTTTGGTCGACTCCGCAGGCGTTGGTGGATTTGGTGGTGGTAGGTGAGTTTTACTTATTGATATGAGGTCTTCAGAAGAGCGAGAGCCGCGCCGCGCTGCGCAGTATAAATTTTGGTTTGGGAATAGCGCTTTCCGTTGTTGGAAATATATATACATATTCAATCGAATCTTAACTTCTTGGCAATCAAACAGGCAGGAAAGGCGGTCTGAAAGGATGAGTGGATGAATGAATGAATGAATGAATGAATGAATGAATAGATTATTGAAAAACTGATTCGTTATGGAATTATAAAGTCTCGATGATATGGGTAGGACTTGATGTTTACTCCCCCTTGGTCGGCTAATCGCTAGAACAGCTAGCGCATTTGCTTGGTATAATGACGTAGGATAAATAGGTAAAAGAAACACCGGCTTAGGTAGAATATAAAAGACAAGGATACATATTTATATATATATATGTATATGTTGAATATATATATACATAAAAGCACAATCACACAATGAAACCTCTCAAGTGACTTGTCGTTTATTCATGTTATTTGTTGTTTTTGAGCAGACAATCATATGACGCTCGGTCTCGCTTATTATCTAACCCCTGTTAGGCACCCGACCGACCGACCTTTTCACCTCATTCTCACCCGTGACACTACTATTCCAGGTGCCTCATCATCATCCTCTCCACCCATTTACTACAATCTAGAACCTGGAGAAGTAGAGATAACTAGCGGCCGCCGGTAATCAACGGGACTAACTACTTTAGGTAAGTTCAAAGCTCTTCTCTATATTCCTTTCTCCCTGCCGACCTCTTCGACCTCTTCAACCTCATCAACCTCATCAACCTCGTCAATCTCTTCAACCTCTTCAACCTCTCCAATCTCTTCGAATCCTTTGACATCCACCTTCATACTTTCCAAGATCTTTGACACAAAACAACCCCGTGCTAACACCGTCACGACAACATCTCGAATCGATCTGACAATTCCAAACACAAGAGCTGAGACATATCAGATCAGATAAAATGTCCGAAGTAGGTGGAGGCCCGACCGCGTTCGGTCTCACCTTTAGAGAATACGATACCCGGCAGATGCAGCATATCCTCCGTGCATACGGCAAGCTCCCACGCTCGAATCCAAACGCCCGTGCCATCCTCTACCTCGCACTCGCTACCCTCGAGAGAAAACTGCCAGGAGACGAAGCACAAGTTCTTCGGGACTGGCTGCACAATGGTGGTGTTTTGAGCGACTTCCCCGGCCCTGCTACCGCCCAAGGCCCGCCGGTGAATGCCTCGGAGCGACGAGATGCCCAGGCTGCACGTGATTTTGGAAGATACCCTGTGTCCGACGATTCCCAGGAGGAAGATGATGATGGAGATGATGGTCATGCACAGGATTATGGACGGGGCAGATTTAATCGTGGTGAATATCGCGGGTACGGTATGGAAATGGGAGGTTCGGGAAGACTTCCACCACCAGCGCAGCAGACCGGCCATCTTCGACCACCTGTCGCCCGATTCATACCACTCCAGAGTCACTTGAATGCGGTTCCGGCTCCGCCTCCTCAGATTTCTGCTGCGCATCCAAGTCGTCCTGCTTCAACCCTTCCTGATGCGTCACTTCCTGATAATCCGCGGCTTCTCCCTATGGATACAGACGAGAATGAATCCGAAGACGATTTGGATGCACCCCCAGTGCATCCTGCAAGTCGTGTTCTTCCTGCTATGAGAAGAGGCCACGACGACGAATCAGGTCCTGATGGACGAGCCAACATTGGAATGGAAGATTTTTCCGAAGGAAACACTCAGCGAGCCGGCCGCGATGGTCATCGCCTACCACCCCCCGAAGACGGCTTCGTTCCACCAGACAGACATCTCCATTCCCGCCATGCTCGTCCCAACCCCCCAGCTGAGCCGTTTCCGTATCATGGGTACCCCAATGCGGGCCGTTCCAACGGTCACCGCCTACCACCTCCCGAGGACGGCTTCGTTCCGCCAGAGAGACATTTGGATGTAGTTCCCAGACTCACATCGGAAGGGGCCGTCCCCGGATCTCGGCATGCAGACTTTGCTCCCCCTTCAACGCACGTTGGAAATGATGTCCGCAACGATCTACCACTCCAACCTCCGGTTTCCGCTGAGGACGATGGAAATCTGGCCCCTTCTAATGATAGTAATGACGCAGACATGAGCGACGATTCCGAAAATCTTTTCCACGATAATGCAATAGAGTGCTGCGTTTGCGCCGGTGATTATGGCCCCGACAAGTTCCCCGAAAGCGAGATCACCTCGACTTGCGAGCACCATAGCAAGGCGATGGTGTGCCTCCGATGTATCCGCTTCAGTATTCAGACGTTTCTCGCGCAGGGCAACTTGCACTTGATCAGATGTCCCCTCTGCCCGGCGATGCTGTCCAAAGATGAGATCAAGAAATACGGCACCAAGGAGATGTTCAGTCGGTACGTTCTCCCCCCTCTCTCCCCTCCTCCACTCTCGGCGCCATCTCGCACTGACGAAATAACAGTTACGAGTACCTTGTCCAGATGGCTACCCCGGGTCTAGTCATGTGTCTCAGCCCGAGCTGCGGTATGGGCCAAGTGCACCCTTCCAACGCGGACAACCCCATCATGACTTGCGACACGTGTGGCTTCCGCACCTGCGTCACGCACAAGCTCCCCTGGCACGAGGGCTTCACCTGCGCCGAATTCGACCTCGAAGAATCCCAGATCGAGCGGCTCGAAGCCGACGAGGCGACGGCGAAGCTCCTCTCGCAGCAGGACTCCAGGATCTGCCCGTCCTGCAACCAGGGCGTCACCAGGACCGAGGGCTGCGACCACCTGCAGTGCCGCTGCGGCCAGCAGTGGTGCTTCGAGTGCCAGGCGGCCTGGGAGAACATCCTGCGCCTCGGCCCAACGGCACATGCGCGGACCTGCCCCAATCATCCCGAGAGACTGAACGTGCGGGGGGACCAGCGGCAGGGCATGGTGCAGCAGATGGCGGAGCTGGTGCATGGTGGGCCGGTCAGCGAGACGCTGGAGAAGGCGAGACGGGAGAGAGACCAGAAGCGTAGGGAGACGGCGAGGCTGTTGGCGGCCGAGGCGGCAGAGAGACGCATGTTGGCTGCCAAGGAGGAGCAGGAGCGGGCCCAGGCGAATGTCAAAGTACCCTCTGTGAAGAAGCCGAAGACCAAACTGGTTGCCCCGTGGGAGGAGAAGTGATGATTCTTGGTGCGGTGCGGTGCCCGGTGGGATGTAATCTCTCTGGGGTGGAGTAGATTTTTCCCCTCTTGCCTTTTACTCGAGAAGCCAGGCGTTTTGCTAGTTAAACGGATCGTCTCTTCTTTTTCGTACCATGGCCAGTTTACCACTGGGAGCGGATGCTTTTGAGTATGGTCAGTATAGCAGTCTATCATCGTCGGGGAAGTGCCGACATCGTTTCTGGGCTGCTGGAGGGATGGGATGAGTTAAGCCTCGTTGTCCACGTCCACGTCCAGGCCGGGCCGAGTTCGCAAGTGCCGTGTGATTGATGCCGCAGACTTGGTAGCTTGGTACCTAGCTTTGTAGGTACTATCCATCCATACATAGTACCATGATAATCTTCTATGATGATCCAAATCGGGTTCGGGTTCGGGTTTTGCGTTTGGGATTGCAATTGAGATTGAGGTTGAGATGGAGGTTGAGGTTGAGGTTGAGGTTGAGGTTGAGGTTGAGGTTGAGGTTGAGGTTGAGGTTGAGGTTGACATTGAGATTGAGATTGAGGTTGAAATTGAGTTTGAGTTTGAGATTGGGATTGAGTTTGCGCTGAGATTTAACTTGGAAAGTATACTGTGAGTGAAGCCTAGACCTAGAGTGTGACATTCGACGGAAGGGACGCACTGACCACCATGCCATGCCATGCCACTACGTATGGTTCCTCGCTTCGGCCGCGGGCAGACTTCCAGTAAGTAAACAAAACAGAGACAGACAGAGACGGGAACGGGAACGAGAACGGAGCCTGCGGCGCTACCAAGCCTTGGCCACTTCCCCTTGGACATCATACCCGTAGCACCAGTCCCTGATTTCCTGATCTGCAATCCCATAGGCCACTTTGCTCTTCCAAAACTCCTCCTTTGCATCTTCTGCCGGCTTGATACTGCTTACATCATCTCTCTTCTCTACCCCATCCCTCCCCATCGCTTCATCTCTAACCTCTCTAAGCTCCCCCTCACCTAAATGCAGCATCCGCCCAGCATGCAAGCTCGCATCCTTCACAGCCTCGGCCCTACCCCTCCTCACCCGATCAAACGCAGCCATGGCGTGCAGCAGACTCTTTCCCTCCCTCTCCATCAGCGCCAAGCACCCCGTCAGCGTATCCGCGTCCTCAATCGCCATCGACACCCCCATCGACAGATAGAACGCCATGGCGTGCGCCGCGTCGCCCATCAGGACGAACCGGCCCGCGCCTGCCGTCCACGCCGGCAGGCGACGAATCTGGTACACGGGCCAGTTCTGCACCTCGGGGTTAGCGAGCGCCAGCAGAGCCTGCAGCGACGGACTGACATCGCCGAAGAGGAGCGCGATCGCGTGCCGGTACTGCGCCGGCGTCCAGCGGCTCGTGTCGACGTCGTCGGGGTGCGAGAGCACGATGTTCAGGATCTGGGCGCCGCGCATGAGGTACGTCATGACCGACCTGCTCTCTCCGATCCAGCAGTTGCAGTTCGAGTCCGCTGCGAGGGATTGCGTGAGGGGGTTCTCGCGCAGCTTGGCCACGGGAGCGGTGAGGCGGTACGCAGCCCAGCCTGTTTTCTGCGCCCACTTGTTCTCCTCCTCCTCCTCGGCTTTGCCTAGGTGCGCGAGGAGCTGGTCGCGGGCGAGGGATTTGATCCCGTCGCTTGCGACGACCAGGTCGGCTCTTACGACTTCGCTGGAATCCAGTCGCACCGCGCCGGCGTCAAACTCGTACTCGGTGACTGTACACCCGAACCGGACCCTCACGCCGATTTCCTCGGCGCGCTCGAACAGGATCCGAGTGATGTCCGCGCGATGGATCACTAGATAGGGCCCTCCGTAGCGCTCTTTGAAGCCGTCCAGAGCTACTTTTCGCAGCAAGGTGTCGTCGGAGTCTCTTCTGATGTTGAAAGAGGCTGGGAGGACGGCGTGCGAGAGGATTGCGGACTCTAGGCCCCATTTCCAGAAGAGGCGGGTCGCATTGGGTGTTAGTTGGACGCCCGCGCCGAGGGCGGCGAGAGTGGGAGAGCTCTCGAGGATGGTAACTCTGTGGCCGGCGAGGGAGAGGGAGAGGGCTGTAGAGAGGCCGCCGAGGCCAGCACCGATGATGGTGATGTGCATTTTGGAGGGCAGCCTGCTGGTTAGGGGTATATATCAATAAAAATATATATACATAAGTATATGAGATCTTCAGACTGCAGACATGATCAGTAGGTATTCAAAAGGCATACATATCACATGCTTACAGAGTAGAAAGAGTGGGAGTGCCGAGAGCGTATGTGAGCGTGCCTCACTTACACACTCCCGGGTTCTGAGCCCGGAAGAGAGACTTGCTATCGTAGAAAGTATATAAAACTGCCAAATCTTGTCTCTAGGAACAGCTAAAAGCAAATAGGAAATATGGCATTCGAGGAACTCTCATGTATAAGCATTGATTTTAAAGTTTAAGCAAACTTTTCTGAGAGAGAGGGGGTTGCTTTAGGAGATGCAGACTCGCCATGGATTTCCAGAGAAGGATCCGCACCCTGCGAGATGATGCTTACTGGGCAGCGAAAAGCGAAACAGAAGTGGGATGGATAAGTATAAGCAATGGTCAGTTTGGAGAAGGGTGTTAAGGAAGAAAGGTTGGGAGGAAATAGGTAGATAATCGAATCTGCTGGGATGGGATGGTAGCGAACGAATAAATAGGTCTTTGTTTGTTTCTGCTCTACCATTCCTCACTTGAGCTAGTGAATGGAAAAGCAAAGCTGTTGCGTGAAGTTGAGATACACAATCAGGAAGATAGTAAGAAATGACTTCTTTGTTGAACAGAGGATGGATAATGACTGGGTGGAGTTGAGATGGGAGAGGAAGGATGGAATTATGACCTTGCGCAAGTGTGAATATATAGTGGTAGTCACGTGATTGTGATATATTCCAGGTGTTCTGACTCTGCCTCGAAAGCAGGTCTTTTCTTTGCCTCTTGAGTAAGATATCAATCAGACTATAAGAAGGACAGAGTAAATAACGCAATAGTTTCTTGGGATGTTTTTGGTAGTCACGCGGACGGACTAAGATACTTTGAGAGCATGTGAACCCCCTGCCATGCCGAGGGAAATCATGAACATTGTCATTGACGGCTCGGTCCTCCCCACCAGCACCAGCACCAGCACATCCGGGAATAGCTTCACATCAACTCGAGAATCCAGCACGAATATACAGAATACCCGCGACATGAGCATCCTGCCAACAGGCCTCTGATGCCCCAACAGCCTCAGCGGCGCATTCCAGCGTCGAATAGCTAGCTATCTTACCCTACCTTACCCCAGCTTTTTCCCCACAGCCCACCAATCCACCCCGACCGACGACACAAACAATGGCCTCGCAATCGAAGCTCCTACCCCCGGAGCGCACCTTCAAGAGCCTCATCTCGAAATTCACAGACCTGTACCTCCAACATCGCACCAATATCTCGCGAACCGTCTACCTGACCCTGTTCTTCGCCCTGCTCAACCGCATCCGCTCGGCCATCTCAGAGCAGAAAGCCGCCGCGCAGCGACAGATCGAGAAACGGCAGCGGGGATCGACGGCACTGGGTCACGGCGGCGAAGGCCCGCCGAAGAGGCAGAAGGTCGAGCTGAACCGGGAATTCTTCAAGAATCTGTTCCGCCTGCTGCGGATATGTATACCAGGGGTGCGCAGCAAGGAGTTCCGGTTGCTGATCAGCCACACGGTGTTCCTGGTGGTCCGGACGCTCATCAGTCTGAAGGTTGCGGCTATGGATGGCGCGTTGGTGTCGAGTCTGGTCAGGGGGAAGGGGAGGGACTTTTTGATGGGCATTGTGTGGTGGATGTTGATAGCTGTGCCGGCGACGTTCACCAATTCTATGGTAGGTTCACATTTCTTGGTGGAGGGAATGTGCTGTGTTAATCTGGTGTACAGCTTTCGTACCATCAGTGCAAACTATCCCTTCAGTATCGAACGCGGTTAACGAACTACATCCACGAGAAATACCTCTCGAGCATGACTTTCTACTCCTTGTCCGCCCTCGATGACCGGATCAAGAATGCAGACCAGCTTATCACTGTGGACGTTTCCAAGTTTGCGAACAGCTTAGCGGAACTATATGGAAACCTGGCCAAGCCGACACTGGATATGCTGATATACAACTACTCGCTATCGAAAAGTGTTGGTGGGGAAGGGCTATTTTTCATGTCTCTCCTGGTCCAACTATCAGCGAATGTTATGAGGGCGTTGACTCCGCCTTTTGGGAAATACGTTGCGGATGAGGCGAGGCTAGAGGGCGAGTTCAGATTCGAGCATTCGAGGGTGATAGATTACAGTGAGGAGATAGCGTTGTACAATGGGCATGAGGCCGAGAAAGATACACTGGACAAGGGGTATTTCACTCTAATTAAGCATGTAAACTGTAAGCACAACCTATTCGTTCTGGATTTGGATGCTGACTCTGTTAGACATATTACGGCGCCGGTTTACGCACGGGATAATGGAGGTAAGCTTTCTGTTTTAATCGTTCAATACGCAATACTAAAAATCCACAGGATTTCATTATCAAATACGTATGGGGTGCGCTAGGACTCGTCCTTTGCAGTGTACCTGTATTTTTCAAGATACCCGGGGCTGCGTCTCAGACGATGGGAGACCGGACCGAAAGTTTCGTCACGAATCGACGGTTACTGCTGTCTAGTTCCGATGCTTTCGGACGGGTCATGTTCTCTTACAAGGAGGTCACCGAGCTTGCTGGATACACCTCCCGAGTCGCGACTCTATTGGAAGTAATGGAAGATATTAAAGCCGGCCGTTTCGAGAAGACTCTCGTGTCTGACGATAACGGTGGCGAGCAATTAGAGCTCATGCGTGGCCGCGGGACAGTGATTGAAAGCGAGGATATTGAGTTCATCGATGTGTAAGTCAGCATCTCTACTTTTCAATTCTCCACTGACCATCTCAGCCCAATTATCACACCCGGTGGCAGCATCCTCGTGAAATCACTGTCCTTCTCCATGAAGCGCGGCGACCACGTCCTCGTAGTCGGGCCCAACGGCTGCGGCAAATCCTCGCTCTTCCGCATCCTCGGTGGGCTCTGGCCCGTCTACGGCGGCACAGTCCGCAAACCACCCCTAACGCAAGTCTTTTACGTTCCTCAGCGACCCTACCTCAGCGCGGGCTCCTTGCGTCAGCAGATCATATACCCCGACTCCCTGCGCACCATGCGGAGTAAAGGCATCACGGACGATGACCTCCTTTCCATCCTCAAGATTCTCGACCTCGACCACCTCGTAGACAGCTTCTCCAATGGCTGGGACGCCGAAGCCGAGTGGCGGGATGTCCTCTCCGGTGGGTTGCAGCAACGCGTCGCCATGGCCCGCCTCTTCTACAACCGACCTAAATACGCCATCCTAGACGAGTGCACGTCCAGCGTTACCCTCGAGATGGAGAAGGTCATGTACGAGCATGCCAAGTCTCTTGACATCACCCTCATGACGGTCAGCCACCGCAGGAGTCTGTGGAAGTACCACAGCAAGATTCTGCAGTTTGACGGGCAGGGAAACTATATCTTCACGGGCCTAGATCCGGAGAGGCGGCTGCAGCTCGAGGATGAGAAGGAGGAGCTGGAAATACGGTTGAGGCAGGTGCCGGAGATCGAAAGGAGGATCGCTGAGTTGAGCGCTGCGTGATTCGGCTCCGGTGTTACATACGGGTGTGGCTGGGCGGGATGGCGATTTGAGTTGGGGCGTAAAGGATATGCAGATGGGGTGGTGTTTGGAACAAATGGGCGAGTAGTAGTAAGGTATTCGACCAGTGATACATATATACGTATTGTATTATCAAAGCCCGTTTGGCCCTCTAAGGATCGAAGTGGTGACCACCACCTAAAACAATAATGGCCTGCAAGCTCTACCAATAATTATTCTGAATAGCGAGTTTCCGTCAGGCTTGTTTTTTCCCATCGGCTAATTTCTCTATATCATATACACGATTATATCATACATACGAATTCTGATATTCCACTCACACGCAAATAAATCTCTTCTACCTTTGTTTTTTTTTTCCCCCTTGATTAACTTCTTGGCTCTACTAATATATTTATTTTTTCCCCTTTTTTTTGTTTCTTTTCTTTTCTTTTCTTTTAAGTTAGGCTTATTTGCACTTTATGGAAATAAAGGCTAGAAATGAGTAAATGCTAGACAAAAAAAGAGGCTAGAAATAAATAAATGCTAGAGATGAATAAAAGCTAGAGATAAACAAGAGCTAGAAATTAACAAACGAACAAATAAACTTCGCCGCTGCTGTTTTTCCACCCGCCATTCTCGGATCACGGTTTGGAATTCAGTAACGTATTGATTGTATTGCGACACGAAATTATCTTGAATAGGGTTAAGCAGGTTACAGACAAGTTCAAGTTCAAGTTGGACCAGAAGGCTTTCGTCCAGAAACTCGTTACACCAACTCCTTCAGACTATCAGGCCCTCGACCCTCGACCTTCGACTCTTGACCCTCGACTTTCGACCCCCCCCCCCTCCCGGAGATCGTAAAGCGCCTACCACGCCTCGAACCGCACGCCTCCCCGCTCCTCACCGCTCACCGCTCAGAAGCAGCTTCTTTCTTCGAGCCCGCAAGCAGCAGCGGCTCAATAGCAGTAGTAGTACCTGCAGTAGTATTCGTAGTAGTAGTAGTACTCCCGCCCTCAGCAAGCGAGCCGTAAGAAGCAGAAGCAGAAGCAGAAGCGGAAGAAGCGGAAGAAGCATCTCCGTCTGCCAGCAGGCGGTGCAGCAAGGCTTTGGTGAGGGCGTGTGCACGTCTTTCAAGGTGAGCGTGGGCGCGAGGTCGAGACCTAGGCTGAATCCGAATCTGGCTTTTGGTATCGTCGTCGTCGTCGTCCCCTCCTTTCGCCTTTGACAGTTCTGTTTCTGAAACGGCGAGCAGCGTGGTGCGTAGCTGACATCGCGACGGGCACTGAGGCGTGGATGGCGACAATGTCGAGTACGGGAATCTGATGCCGTGCGGGTAGGTGCTTGCTGAAGAGGGTTGCGATGAGAGGGGTCCTTAGGGCTTGTTAGAGGGAAAGAGGACGGGAGCCGGGGTTGTGGTGGGGGTGGTGGTGGTGGTGAGGGAGGTGGTGGTGGTGGTGGTGGTGGTGGGGGCCGTTTGGATCTGGGTGTGGATTCTTGTGTTGATGCGTCTGCGGCTTCGCGTCTGCGGGCGTCTCAGGGCCAGGGCGCTGGGTCAGTGGTTTTTGGGCTTGGGCTTGGGATTCGGTGAGCGGTTTTTGTGCCTGGATTAGCTCTCGCTTGCGTTGTTTTTGGAGATTCGGGACTGGGGCTGCGAGGTCGGAATGGAGTTGGTTGTTGCTGTTGCTGCCTTTCTGGCGCCGATCAAGGGTCCGTTTTTGCAGTGGTAGAGGGTAGGGAGGTTGGTTGGAGAGGGGTGAGGAGCGTTGGATGAGTGCTGCCGCGGGTTGCAGTGGGGGCCCATTGAAATCGAGATAGGTGTCTAGCATGGAGGGCGAGGATTGGATCGGGATTGCGAGGGTGGTTGAAGACGTGAGTAATAAGAGGCCCAGTGGCAGGGAGAATATGGTTGTGTGCATTTTCTTCTCCCTCTCCTTCTTTGCGGTTACGCGTAGGAAGTCGAAATGGTTTGTTGTGAGTGAGTATGTGAGGAAGTGTTTTTGTTCTGTGTTGTTGTTTTGGTTTATTATAAGCGAGAATCGACAACTTCCTTAATCATGAAAATATTTGAGACCAGACAGGATGTGACGAAAGTAGACATGTATATGAATTTTTATGCGAGGAGGTTCATCCTTTATCTATTGTGTATTTGGGCTGAAGTTTGAAGACAGAACCAACAACGCAAAGCATTGCAGCGCTTCGTCTCAGGCTCGTCGGATCCCTTGCAATCCCAAACGCGCGCTAGGAGTCTGCCTAAGCGAATGTCTCGTTTCTTGGATGAGATGTTTGAAGATGTGACATTTGAAGATGGGCACTAGTTTTCGGTGATAGTGAAGCCAGGGGGTATGGCCCCAGGATGGAGCGTATGATTGAGGTAGTGGAGTACACAAGATGTCCGAAGGCGATATAAATTATATCACGTGATATGTGTCCCCGACAACATGCTTGCTGTGGATTGGCCTGGAGAGAAAGACAGTAGACAGGTGCTGGATTCTTTATGCCGAGGTATTCAGGGTATAATTTTACCGAGTAAGATCGGAAGCCACCGCTTGCGAGCCGATTGACCGCGAGGTGATACCGAACATCACCTGTTCTTCGTGCAACAGTGAGAGTGCACCAAAAGAGCAGCTGTGGTCTGGATTCAGTCACTGGGCCTATGGAATGCCCTCTTCCTAACTAGAGCTACATAGAAATTAAGCACTAGTGCACACATATATATCATGTCGTCGCTTAACGTACGTCGTGAAATATTGAGAGCGGCGGGTATCAACCTTATTTACCCTACTCATACCGTCTTTCATTATTTTCGGACACAATCACAAACAAACGCGTATGGGAAGAAAGAAAAGACACAGACGTAAACGAGCAGCAAAGAGCGCATACCGATTCATAAACGAGCAATCGGCTTTTCGTACTCGGCATGATCCTCGATACCACCCACCCCAGGGCCTTCCTACCCAACCTAACCAGAAAAGCGATATAACTTCGAATTCCAAGAGCAGCAATAAAACCAAATGGCCATTTCACGCAAGTGGAAGATTGTCCTGCAATTTGCGCTGATCATCTCTATCAGCGCTTCGACTGCGGGTTTAGCAGGTGGTCTGACAAACAAGGTGTCGAGATGGGGGAGTTCGACGAAGATGAAGGATAAGATTGATACGGGTGGTCATTTGAGAAATGAGACGGTAGTTGAAGGTGGTGATTTAGGAAATGGGACGAAGGATGCGATGCTGATGGGGACAGGTGGCGATAGGATGATGTCGAGGTGGGAGAGTGTAGGAGGAGGGAGAGGAAGGGCAGTATGGGTGGGAAGAGCTTTGAATTGTTGATTTGAAGGAGATAGACGAAGGAGATAGAAGCAGAGGGTAATGAATATGGGGAGAAAGGTCTGATAGCTGCGGAAAGTAAAATGGTGTAGACAGCCTGAGGTCCATGTTGCGAAGCAGAAAAGACAAATCGACACCACCTACACCCGAAGATAATACGGCATCGGATTGTGGAGAAGAGAGTATTCAGAAGAAATCTTTGAAGCATTCTCTCGCAAAATACATTGGGGAGAAGTGATACTCCCAGATACTGGTTGAAAGTCCGCTACGAAATACAAGACAAGCATTGATTAGTCATCAACCTAGCGCCTATCTCAAATGCAACATCATCTCAACATCTTATACCAACGTCAACATCTCCCTCTCACGAAGTACCAATCGAGATTTATTCAAAGAGAAGATACGCCTATCTCCCAGCCACCAATCCATCACCAGGGGGTTTCTTCGTATCCATCCGCAGCTTCCACCTAGAAAGCACGGCCATCACGTGGACCGCGACCAGTCCAGTATTGAGTCGGCACTGCCTTCATTCTTGAGACTGATGTTTCTTTACACACTGCATACGCCCGCCGCGGATGAATCCACTAGCCATGGAAATGACCCAGTCGTATAAACACTTCGAGACGCCATCGTTACGCCCACCTGATCCATCCCTCCCATTCCGGAAATGCGGTCAAGTATGATACAGATAGGTCTCAGACCCTATGCCCGGATCCTCAGTTGGCCAGCTTATTCTCCCCCGTAATTTACAGAATTAAATCGTGCTACTGGTATCAAGTGGTGTCTCAAGTCTGCCCGGCGCTATAAGATGGGATGGACTATCCACCTTTGTTTTTTCCTCTCTCTAAATGTATGTCTTCTTCGCTGGCAAATGGCAAAGCCAATGCGCAAGTCCCTTGCTTCGAATTTCGGGCTCAGGATCAGGATAATCAGGGATATATTCTCATCTCTGAGCTATTAATGGGAAGGAAGGGATATCAGCTCATCAGCTTGAGTTAGCAAGCAGAGAGAGAGCTCCTCGCAGAGAACAATTAATACAATACAATACAATCACATCACATCATACCAACCAGCCTCGCAACCCAGACATTCTCCCTCTCTCATCTCGTAGCTCCAAAGTGATCTCGCTGGTGTCTGGACAAAAGAAGAAGAAAGCGAATTGATAGGAATCTAAAATTATATGAATGTATAGCTATAGATATATAGATATATGTAAGTAGATATAAATATATACAATTTCCAAGACGCAGATAATCTGAAGCCAAAGGCGGGGGGGATTGCGAGGTTGGGTTCCTGTTTACCTTCGCTGCCGTCCTCTTCGCCGTCGCTGCCTTGGAAGTTTGGTGGCAAGGGGGGGGGGGATGAATGAGTGAGTGATTTGTGCTATTAGAAGAAAGAAAAGAAAGAAAAGAAAAGAAAAGAAGAAAGAGAGAGAGAGAGAGAGAGAGAGAGAGAGAGAGAGAGAGAGAGAGAGA